CCCGCCACAACGCCCGGCTATTTTTTGGTTGCAGCCATCGTTGTTTGGCGGTCCGGGCTGGGGATACGAACCTTAGGTGTACGTGGCTGGCGCCTTAGCCGGTTGAGCTATAGGCGCCGAGCCAGAATGGATGGTTCTTAAATATTGTAAAAGGTTCAAGCACTCTTTAGAAAGCTGAAAATGTGCACACCTTATCTGAAAATAAACCTTGACTCTTGATTAAAGCTGTGTTTGGAATTGCTTCAGAGGTCCCTGATTGGATTTAAATCTCTGGGTGATGTAACACGTCCCGGTTTTTCCTAGGAGGGGGCCTAAAATACTACCATACCGCAGGTAAGATTCCAATCCACAATCCCTGGCTTAGGATGCCCAGTGCTTTATCCATTAGGCTATCGGGGCTAACAAGCAGCATTTTTTCTTGGCCTTAGCCCAGTCTCTTAGTTACCTCCCTAGGTTCCTGCACATCCTGTGGCCTCATCCTGGCCTGTTTCTAGCCCCTGGACCTCGTCCTTGGACTGTGCTCTCGCTCCCACTCGGATCTCTCCCGCTGCTGAGCACCCTTGGGTCCCAGAGAGACGGGGCACGCAGCTGAAAGACTTTGAAAGCTAGGCTTTAGCTCAGCTGGTTGGTAGGGGTAAGATTATCGCTTAGGGCGCAAGTGGTACTGGATCAAACCTTCCACAAGCCTTATCCTGTATTTCACCTTTTAGGATGAGCATCGAGGCACAGGGATAACTAGATAACAAGAAGCGATGGCTGGATGTGTAACGGAGCATCTGCAAAAGGCAGCAGTATGCGGTGTTCTGCGGTGGCCAGTTCCCCATCCCAAAAGCTCCACACTTGGGTAAAGTGGACTGCGGGTCCTCGTCCTCCTTCCCATTTTTCCCTAGGCCCAGATACTTTGCCCAGCAGTCTGATGTCTCTCATTTAATAATGACCCTGCATTTCTTTCTTTCTTTCTTTCTTTTTTTTTGTAGAGACAGAGTCTCACTTTATCACCCTTGGTAGAGTGCTGTGGCGTCACACTGCTCACAGCAACCTCCAACTCCTGGGCTTAAGCGATCCTCTGCCCTCAGGCTCCCAAGTAGCTGGGACTACAGGCGCCCGCCACAACGCCGGGTTAATGACCCTGCATTTCTACATTTCCCCATTAGTTCAAACTCTCAAAGTCGCCACGTTGGGTTTTTACTTTCCTGCCACGACAGGCTCTGTCTCCAAAAAAAAAAAACCCTGCATTTTACAGTGTAATCTGGTTTCTTGTACCCTCAATGAATCCCCAACAATAAAAAAAAAAAATCCACATTTTAATGTGGCTTTTCTTACATTTATAAACCTTTAGCAAACCACTCAAACATCACAAAAACGTTAAAGGAGAAAGTGACACTCCTCACGACCCCTGGTCACCAGCTCCCGCTGACCAGAGAACGTGCAGGTTGCCCCTGCAACCTTTATCCCACTGGAGGACACGACACTGCTCGGCACCTGGATTATCCGCGCCCAGGTTTTTCCCCTTGACCACATCTTCTGGGAGAGAACCCAGGTTCCGCAGATAGGCATTTTTTTTTTCTGAGTAAAATGTTAACTATATCCTGGACATAATCTTTCTATTTAAAATATTAAACATGTTTACACTGATCATTCAAAGATACTCTCATTGCAAGAAATCTAAATAATCTATTAGTTTTCCTTTTACATTTTATTTATTTTTTTGAGACGGAGCCTCAAGCTGTCCCCCTGGGTAGAGTGCCATGGCATCACAGCTCACAGCAACCTCCAACTCCTGGGCTCAAGTGAGTCTTCAGCCTCAGCCTCCCAAGTAGCTGGGACCACAGGTGCCCGCCACAACTCCCAGCTATTTTTTGTTTTGGCGGGCCCAGGCTGCATTGGAACCTGCCACCTTAGATGTATGTGGCTGGTGCCTTAGTCACTTGAGCCACAGGCTTCACATTTTAAACTATGGTTATAAGGCCAGGCGCAGTGGCTCATGCCTGTAATCTCAGCACTCTGGGAGACCAAGGCGGGTGAATTGCCTGAACTCAGGAGTTCAAGATCAGCCTGAGCAAGAGTGAGACCCAGTCTCTACTAAAACTAGTAAAACTAGCTGGGAGTTATGGCAGGCACCTGTAGTTCCAGCTACTTGGGAGGCTGAAGCAAGAAGATTGTTCTAGCCCAAGAGTTCGAGGTTGCTGTGAGCTATGACGTTACAGCGCTGTATCCGAGGCGACAGAGTGAAACTATGTCTCTAAAAAAGAAAAGAAGAAAGAAAAAGGAAACTATGGATATATATTTTGCATATATACATATACGCAAAATTTGCCATCTTAACCATTTTCAAGAGTATAATTCAGTGACATTAATTACATTCACAATATTGTGCAAACGTTACCACTATTTACAAAATTTTTCATCACAATAATCTAATGGATTTTGATTTACAAAAAATTTACAAAATTTTTCATCACAATAATCTAATGGATTTTGAAATGCACAAGTCCTTTCACTGCCTCCCTCCCTTGGAGCGACTACCCACCGCAACCCCAACCCCATGTCTGTCACAGTTTTCATCTTCGCGTAGCCAAACCCCATGGGCTCCCGAGAATCACCGTCTCTGGCTTCAGGGTCCGCGGTCCGCCAGTGTCCGGTCAGCGTTGACCTCTGCAGTGACTTCTGGGTCGCCACAGCTGCAATCCTGGCCTCCGGGTCCCGATGCCCGTTTGCAGGAGGTGGGAAGCGTCTGAGGAGTCCCAGGGTGATGCTGAGATTGGGCAACAGTGCTGAGAAAAAAAGAACACATCAAATGAGGTTTAGAAAAGCTAGACCACGCAACGACCACGAAGGGACTCGAACCCCCAATCTTCTGATCCGGAATCAGACGCCTTATCCATTAGGCCACGCGGCCGTGCGAAGAAAGTTGGCGCAGTTTTTCCTATAAAGGTTTTCAAAGCGCCTGCGCAGTTTACTTCGGTGGGTAAAATTGGAATGGAGAGTAGTCCTGCCTCTAGGGGCTCTGTAGGGGCAGAGCTCCACACTAGTCCCTCGCGCCCGTCAGCGCTGAGGCCGATTCAAGGAAGCTGCTACCGCGAGCCCTAGAGTACTAGTTCGAGCCCTGGCGAGCCCGTCTGCTGCAGGCCCCTCCTGGGCACTTTGGTATTTGTTCCCCCACTTGCAGCCCCCCTGTATCCGGCCAGGCGCTTCCCATTACTCCTCCAGCCCTTTGTGCTTGCCCCATGTCTTCACCGGTGAGCCTGCAATGGTGCGTTTTAGAGGCTTTCGTCCCCACACTTGGCTCTTAGCTTCTGGAAGGCAGAAGCCGCATCTCCCGCGTTTCCATGGCACAGTCCAGGTTGGGGCGGGGCGCGTACACAAGGACATGGCTGGGAGAGAAATGTGGCCTCTAGGCTGCCCACTTCCCGGCACCCCTTTCCTTTTGGGAAGCTCCCAGGACCTCTAACCCAGCTAACCGGTGTTGGGTTCCTTAGTCTTGGATACTGAACTCAGGACCCAGCTTGGGCCAGGGCTCCCTGGGCCTTCTGGCCTCTGGTTTCCAGGGTCACGGTTGCACCCTCAGGAAGTGCCAGGTACTTCATATACATCATCTTCCTTTTTTTACACATCCCTGAGAGCAGGCACTGTTCACAATCAACTGGTATTTATTGCATGCCAGTTAAGCGCCAGCACCCATGCTGCCATGACTCCTTTTCAGGTGAGGAAATGGCTGGATGGAGTTGCAGGTGTTGCAGCAGGGCTCTCAAGCCTGCAGGCAAAGCCGGTGCCTTAGTGAGCTGCGGATCTCCAGGCAGGCCTTGCGGAGTTCATCACCGTCCGGGCCCAGCACGTCGTGCTCACATATCTGCCTGTTGACCTGCAGTGACAAACCCAGCCTGTGCCCACTGTCCCAGGACCTGTGGGGCTCATCCTGACACCCAGGGGAGAGCCCTGCCCTGGTGCATTATGAGGCCTGAAAATCCCAAGGGCTGTCTTGACATCTTTGAGCCTCACAGGGTGCCAAGCCCTAAGCCTGAGTCCCCTACTCTCAACAGACACCCTCTACCCAGTGGGACAGGCTCCTTCCCAGCCCCCTAGAGTTCCACTACCAGCCAAGCTGGCTGCCCCTACCTGGTCCTCAACCTAACCTGTTTCAGTTCTCTGCCAGCCCTTGTGAATATTCAAACCTAAGACATCTTCCTGTGGGAACCAGGAGGATGCACTCTCTGCTCTGAGTGCACCCCCCATGTGGCCCTGGGTGGCATGCAGTACCTTCCCCCACCCCAGACTTTAGTGTATGTGAGTAATAACTGCTGTTGATCATATCTGTCCAGTACCAGGTATCCTGTGTTTGGCCATCCTGTACCACTGAGGGCAGGCATCCCTCCTTCACCAGCAGAGCTAATGAGAAGTGATCAGAACACTAGGGCCAGGGAAAAGGACAAATCCTCTCCCTCTGTCTTTGTTGCCCCCATCCCCCAGCACACCTCAGTCAGCAGCTCCATGAGGTCTCTCCCTGGGTTGGCTTGGAGGACCTCCACCAGCGTCTGGATAAAGTCTGAGCCCTTCTCATCTCGATAGGCCACATAGCCTAGGACAAAGGACCAGGGCCAGAGCATCAGGCTCAGATCCTGACCCTCTGCCTTCCAATCCCCAGGGACCTATTGTGCTGGACATGAGGGGCAGCAAGCAGGCAACAGGCAAGAGAACAGGGCAGGGAATAGTGACTTCTTGCATCTGGAACACACTGTTGTAGATACGTGCAGAGTGAATATAATGCTGGATGCACTATTGAACAACATGTGAATCTACTATGTGCCAGGCCCTGAGCAGGGCAATAGGGCAAATAGATCTTCCCTGCCTTATGAAACTTATAGCCTGGAGGAAGCCATACACATGGAATGCTTGGCACAGTCAGCACTTAATGGAACATTATTACTATTATAATAAATAATAAACTGTGGAAGAAGGGTGGCTTAACTGTAACTGGGCTGGTGCCTCTAAGCCCTAGCTGCTACTCAGGCCACTCCAGATGTTAGGCCAGGAAGGTGGGCTCTGTGTAACCATGGGCTTCCTGATAACCTGTCTTCTTACCCTCAGCAGCAGAATAGACTGTCAGGATGTCAGCTTGGTCAGAACTGCCCAGGGGGGAGTCCCTGGAGAGGCTGCCTGTAAGAAGAGGAATCATGCCTAGTCACCAGCATCCTGGAACTCCCTGCTTCCACGAGGATGAGAAGTCCCCCCATCTCTAGCTTAAGACACAGGGTAGTGGAAAGCGTGCAGGGCACAAAAGACAGATGGAAGTTCAAGGCTCGGCTCTGCCACTCACCATCCATGTAACCTCAGAAAAGCTATTGCACCTTACTCCAGAGTTGTGGCAAGGTTCAAATAGGAGAAGACGCTCCCACTTCTCAAAGGCCCTTGCAGGGCGGGAAGACTTTATTTCCCATTATCTTGACAAAGAGAAGATGTAGGTAGCAGCAGGACCCTAGCTAAGAGTCCCGGAAATGCTGTTAGGACAGTTCTAACCACCAGCCCTGCCCATGTCCAGGCTCTGGAAGGAAGGCAGAACCCACCTTTGGCATCAGCATAGATCTGGAGGACATCTGCATGGGAAGGGATGGCTGGAGGTGCCTGCAGCCAGCGCCAGTACCAGGGGAGAGCTGTGGGCCCCACGCCAGTGTCCCTGTTCCCTGGGATAAAGAAAGGCAGATAGTTGTACTTGGTGGATATTGGGGGTTGCCTTCGGTGTCTAGACCCTGTATGAACAGTAGAATCAAGCAAGAGCTCAGGCCCCAGAGCTCTGGGGCAGGCCTGCTGGGCTGGAAATTCAGAGAACTGAACAAGTGCTGAGGGTTAAGGGCTCAAGTGCATGGACTTGACTTCTAAGAGAGGATGGGAGAGGGAGTAGGGAAGGGAGGGCACTCAGGCTTCATGCAGGAGGTAGACAGCAAATCCTAGGAGGGTAAGCGCTGGCAGAGGAAAACTTGGGAATGAGAAGTGGACTGAGGTGCCACTCACCCCCGCGGCAGGCCTGCAGTAGGAAGATCTTGGGGTGGTCCTGTAGTGCCCGGCAATGGCTCAGCTCCTGTTTTAGCACCTCCAGCTGTACCTCTTGCCCATCAGCCCCCACCAACTGTCCCTGTGGCCCCCCATGTGCCATCAGGGCCACAAGGGCACAGCTCACAGGGCTACTGTGGGTGTCCAACTGTTCCCGGAACTGGGCCAGTTCCTTCTGGAAAGCCTGGAGTGAGGACAAGGTTGAGGCCTGGGCCAAGGCTGCCACCTCCCCAGCAGGGTCAAGAAGTTTCCCCAGCCTCTGCCCACCAATCTCCAACCACCTTCCTGGTGGAAAAGCTATGTCAGAAGCTAAGAGACAAGAGTGGGCTGGTGGGTGTCCAGAAGGGAACAAAACCCCTTGGAGGTAAAGCTTTGATCTGGGGAGCAGAGAACCAGACAGTGTGGGAGGTTGCAGGAGCCCTGCACACCAGCCTTCGAGAGGCAGGGAAATGACTGCCTAATGCATGCATTGGGGGAGATGGGGGCTAGACCTGCAGGTGTACTTCCTGCCCATGATGGGTGAGAGGCCTGGGAGAGTCCCCTGGGCCCTTTATTCAGATCACCAGTGGAAGTTCTAGGATTCCCTTCACCTGAGCCGTAGGGTCCATCCTCAGGGTGGTCTCGAAGCCTAGAGTCTGGCACAGCCTCCCCAGTGCCTCCACATCATGCTGGGCCCCAGGCCGGCCTTGGATCACAGCCAGGAGGAGGGCAACCTTGGCCCTGGATAGGTCATACTGAGTGCTGAGTCCAGCGACTGGCTATAAAGAGGGTTAAGGCTTATTTGAACTGGTCTGAGGGGACTCTTGGCCCCTCACCTCCCCTGCCTGGGTCGCTCTGAGCCTTTGTCCCACTCAAAACCATGGCCACATGATTAGAACCCACACCACCTTCTCACCTCAGGCATCCAGGGCTCCACGTCTCTTAGGCACAGTGTTCCCCGCAAGGAGCTCTGGAGGATGGGGCAGCAGGTACCCCCTGCAGACGCTTTAGCCATCCTGCAGAAGAGCTGGAGAGGGTAGGGCCTAAGGACACCTGAGGGACCTGCTTCCTGGGGGACCAGAGGAAGGGGTGCAACCCAGGCCTCTTTCCTGGCATGGGGAAAGGCCCGGCAAGGCTCATGGCTACTACATAGATCACTATGAAAAGTTTTTTGGGTTTGGCTGTTTTTTTTTTTTTTTTTTTTTTTTGTAGTTTTTGGCTAGGGCTGGGTTTGAACAAGCCACCTCTGGCATTGGGGCTGGCGCATTACTCCTTTGAGCCACAGGCGCTGCCCTGAAAGTTTTGAGACAGATTGTATTATGCAACCTTGTTTCACTACTAAAAAACAGTCGACAGCATCCTCTCTGATTCATACATGCAAGTATCAATTTGCTTGCCTTATCAGTGTTGCTAGGCTTCGTTTGTTTCTGTCCATGTAGATTTAATGTTTCTTGATTTTTGTGTATCTCAAAACTTTCATAATGACCCACATACAGTCTCTTCATGAACACCTGACCATACAGTCTCTTCAGGGACACCTGTCAGGACAGGGCACCTGGGTTCCAGTTCAGGCTCAAGTTCACAGGTTTCCCTGGGCATGAATGGCCACAAGTGGATAGTGACCATACCATTAACCCCTTGGGATCCGTGGGCACAGAGGTGGGAACACTCCTTAGAGCAGGGCAGGGCCTAAAAGGGAAGGCTTACAGGGTGGGCACTGCCTGCAGAGGGCACCAGGCCTGGAAGAGCCATGGAGCTGAGCTGGGATCCACATGCCTCACCTCCAGGGCCACCCAGGGCTGCCCAGCTGCCTGGTGAAACCTTCAGCCCTTGGGACCAGACTTGAATCATTCCTAGCCCCAACCTCCAAGGTTCCATGGTCTAATAGAACAGATGGTCATTATCTGTGTGAGTGTGAAAAGGGGAGGCCTGAGGAAAGGAATCGTTGACAGACTGGAAGGGACTGTGGAAGGCTAGTGGAACATCAAGGAGGAAATGCCAAGCAGAGGGAACTGCCTGGGCATGGAGTTGGTAGGCAGTCTGGGGTGTGTGGGCATTCCAAGTTGGGGGGTGGGGTTGAGTCCCCAAGGCTGATATCACATGTGCCGACAATAATGGTTTGTAGAATGAATGGGAAAGGCAGTGGGAGCTGTAACAGGTTCAGGCAGGAGAGCACAGCAAAGCCAGGGGACAAAGGAGCCAGCTTGCCCTCCCTGGGACTCCCCCTTTAGGGCCCCCACCTCCGTCAGTAGCTGCACCAGGGACCAGTGAGGAAAACAGCCACAGAGCTCTCTCAAGCCAGCAAGGAAGGCTCCAGGCTCTGGGGTGGCTGGGAGAAGAAGAAGCACGTTGGCCTGGGGAAACCCCACTCTCCTGCCCAGACCTCATCCTGCTCTGCTCCCCCAGAACTGAGGTCCCTAACATGCCCACTCACCCCTGGAGCCACTGGAGAGCAGCAGGAAGACTTTGGGGCAGCCCTGCAGGGCCTCACAGCGGCTCAGCTCCCAGATCAGCTGCCCTGGGTGCCTCAGTTGCCCATTTGGGGCAACCAAGGCCACGATGGCACAGCCCATAGGACCCCCACGGGCATCCAGCCACTCCCGAAACCAAACCAGCTCCTCAAGAAAGCCCTACGGGTAAGAGCAGAGGCCAAGCCTGAGTCCAGAGAGGTTCTGGGTAGGGGAGGAGTGTAGTGGAGGGGAATGCTTACCTGGACTGAAGCCTGCCTCCTCTCACAGCTTTCAAAGCCCAGGGCCCGGAACACACCTTCCAGGGCAGCGACTATAGCAGCAGACACCCCAGGGCTGCTGAGTGTCAGGGCCACCCTTGGACCCTGAAGGCTGTACTTTCCCTGGGGAGGCAAGTCCAGAGCTGGGCTAGGGGGCTTAGCTGGGCATTGGGAGTGGGCTGGGCCAGGTGGGGCCTTTCACTACCTTTCTTCGCAGGCTGTCTCGAGTGTCTGCCATCTGTGCAGCCATCCGTAGGGTTCCAGCCACCAGGAAGGCCATGAGACCAGGTAGGACTTCCTCTGAGCACCAAGCACTGTACTCACCACCTGGCCCCAGCTCCCAGTGCCCTGGGTCCTAACGCTTGCCCTCTCCCTCCACCAACTCCTATCAGCTGTTTATGAGCTGAGCTGAACTCTGCCCCTGTTCCCTGGAAGCCTGGGTCCTGGGCCCCACTTGCCCAGCCCTAGCTCCATTCTCTTGCTCCAGCAGTGACTTCCTGGCTGGCACTGATGTGCCCCCACCTGAGCCAGGAACCTGTGCCCAATCCTATTCTTAGCTCCGGCCCACGCTCCTATCTGATCTTGTTACACCTGAGTGTCTCCCTTTAGAGCCAGCCACCAGTACTAGAAAAGTCCTTGTAATGCTCTCGCCACCCCCTACACGTCCACACACAACAGCACCATGCCCCTAGAAGTAAAAATCACCAACTAGAACCAGTGAAATCTCAGTTACTTCATCTGGAAATGAGGACAATCCCAGTGACCCCCCACAGAATGTGTGTTGAATAGTAGGTTGGCAGAGGTAGAGCTCAGGGATAGAAAGGTGGGCACACACGGACCAGCTACCAAGGGACAAGAACATCTCCTCTCCACCTGCCCCACCTCCTGTCCAGGGGTCCTTACAAGTCTGGAAGGAAGCTGGTATGTCAGGGACCTTTGGCTCTGACTGCCCAACCAGCTTTATCCAGGCCATAGCCTGAAGCCTAGGCAGGGGAGAAGTCAGATGACAAGGGCTGGCAGAGAGTGAGGGCAGGCCTCTGACCTGTCAGCCTTCTCTCCCAAGGGACCCAGCACAAAGCAACATTGAGTTCTGGATCCCCAGTGAGCAGCATGTGCATACTACCACCTGCCAGTGCCTCCAAACCCCTTCCTCCTCCTACCAGTCAAGGGAGAGAAATGGCCTGGCAAAGACCCCAGCCCTGCTGGGCTCCCCATTCTCCTGCCAGGACAGGGAGGCACTGGGGACACAAGAGGAGAAGTCCTGGGGCTTAAAGCTGACCCTTGGGGCCCAGCAAACCTGGGAACCAAGGATGCAGCTCTAACTGGTAACCACATAGCACCATGTGCCACCAGGATTACCAGGTCAAAGGATACCATTCCAGGTAACCCACCCTCCACTCCCACAGCATCAACCTAAAGGACAGAACAGCCTGGACAGAAGTTTCCACGTTTATTCAAACCCTTCTGCTGCCCTTTTGAAGCCAACTGGGCTGAGTGCCTTTGGAAGGCCTGTGGTCTGTCTCTGTTAATGTAAATCTGCAAAAGATGCAGATGAAAAACACGCAATTCAGTGCCAAGGAATCAGCAGCCAAGTGCTGGTTGAGTGCTAGTACTAAGTATGATGCAGGCCATGCCTCTGGAAGAATCAGCGACAGCCAGGCGCCCTGTTCTTGTTCTCCAGGATTGGCCTCTCATCACTGGAACCACCACAACCCTCACTAGAATGGGAGATGGATGACTCTCTGGGGCAAGTCCGCCAAGGGCAAAGGGAGCCAGCTTCTATGTGGCCAGGATAAGACGGAGTGGTCATAGCCTGGAAACAGGAAGGGATGGAAGCCAGAAAGCCTCTGTGGCGTGCCCAGGACCCAGACTCTCATAGGTGTGGGCCCATTGTCCCTCTCAAAGTCCAGCAACCCCCTGGGGGATCAAAGCCAGTCCTCCAACCCCCCATGGAAGGCACAGGTTGGCACTGCAGAGGGCCTGGGCCATGGACCCACTCAACAAGGGAGAAGACAAAGGACCCATGCAGCCAAACAAAGCCAAGGGAGTTCTGGAAAGGGACCCTTGGCCTTCCTGAGTCCTCAGGCTATCCTGCTGCCTCTGATGAGGAATGCTCTGGGGTTCCCAGAGGCCCAAGGTACAGAGACTTGAGCACAGGATGGGGAACCACAGGGTCAGAGATTTCCATTCTGTTTCAGTGCTGGGCAGGTCCTCCCAACAGTGTAGACGGAGGTGGGCAAGCTCTGAGCATGGGTACCCTCTCCCAGCTACACAAAGGAGGATATGACACTGCCAGCCTCACTGGGAACACCCCATCCTCTTGGCTGGCCTTAGGTACCAGCTTGGCTGCTCAGCCCACAGGCTGGGCCATCTTGGCGTGCAGGCTCTGATGGGCAATGAGGTGGGCACGTTGCTTGAAGCTCTTGTCACACTCCCCACAGCCAAAGGGCCGCTCGCCAGTGTGCACGCGCCGGTGATCCAGCAGGTAAGAGCGCAGTGAGAAGCTCTTGCCGCAGTCGCTGCAACCGAAGGGCTTCTCGCCCGTGTGGATGCGTTGGTGGTCGGCCAGGTAAGCACTGCGGCTGAAGCTCTTGCCGCATTCAGAGCAGGAGAAGGGCTTCTCGCCCGTGTGCACACCCTGGTGGCGCACCAGGTCCGAGGAGCTGCGGAAGCTCTTGTCACATTCCGGGCACTTATGCGGCTTCTCCCCAGTATGAGTGCGCTGGTGCCGAGCCAGGTCAGAACCCCAGCGGAAGCGCTTCCCACATTGCTCGCAGCTGTGCGGTTTCTCGGCCGCCAGGTCCCGGAACTGGCGCCGACGTGTAGGTGGCCGCCCCCGACGAGCACCCACCACTTGGCCCAGGGCCGCCCTTGGCTGGTTCTCGCTCTCCCAGGTCTCAGCCTCCTTGCAGCTCCAGGACACAGTTAGCTCTCCAACCGCTTGGCTTGGCAGTGTGGTCACTTCTTCCAGATGGGACCTCTCACTGTGGCTTTTGAGCCCCAAACCTGCAAGAGGAGAGGAGGTACCTTCCTCAGTCCTGCTGGGTTCTAGGGCCAGAGCTGAAGAGAAGAAAAACATACTTCAGGGAAGGCTCCCTGGTTGTCAGGTTCAGACAATACTGGGCTCTGACAGCTCGTGCCTCCTTTCCTCATCTACAAAATGGGGATGATGATAAAATGCTGGCAGAGAAGCACAGCTGAGTAAGCCCCAGGAGCTCCTTGTACATACACCCGCAAAGGCATCTACTAATCGTGTCACCTAACCCACCCACCTTCTGCTTTCCACAATTGGATGAAACCTTCTACTCGGAACACTGAAGCCTGGCTACTCAACCTCCAAAACTCAACAGATTTGGGTGATTTTATAAATTATCCCAATTCTCAGTGTAGGAAACTGAGGAACCAAATGGCTCCTGTGGTTCCCCTCACTACACAGGCTCTAGTTCTCCAAACTCCAGGCACAAAACCCATCTGGGTGGAGTGGGGGAGGGGTGCAGATTCAGTGAGAGACTTTCCATTCCTAATAGTTCTGAGCAAAGCTCAGCTTGCAGAGGGGCTCGGACTGGCCAGCACACAATGCTCTCAGTCAGCACCCCTGTACCTGGCAGCCTGAGGGAGCTTCATAGTCACACCTAATCTGAGTCCAGCTCTGTCCTTCAGTGTCCACTGACCTCTCTGAGTTTCAGGTACCTAATTTATAAAATGGGGATCATACATGTACATATCAGATTGTGAGAATCAAAGATGTCTCTAGGAGTGCTCACTCAGCACAGGGCTGGCATAACTCTAGCCCTCATGCCATCATGCACGAGACCTAGAGAAAGTCCTTCATGGACCCGGCTAAGGATGGGGTAGGAAGGAAGACTGAGGATTCCAGCCAGATAAGAGGCAGCCTATCTAGACCCCAAAGGCCCTGAGCGCTTACCAAGGGCAGTGTTCCGAGAGTTCTCCCGCTTTATGTCCCAGAAGAGATCCTTTTGGGCAGGGTCTAGGGTGCCCCATTCTTCCCGGGAGAAATAGAATGGAATGTCTCCCAATGTCACAGGTCCCTAGAATGAGGCAAGAAGACTGGGCTCAGGGCCACCTTGCTCAGGCCTCCCAGCAGCTGTCAGCAGGAATAGGATGGGTTGGATGAAAAAGGTCTTGATGGGAAGCCAAGGCTCATTTCGCCAACTCAGCAGTGTCAAGGGTCCCAGAGAGGACAAAGAAAGGCACCAGCAACTCACGTGGACTCCAGAGACAAAGCAGGTATCCATCATCTCTCTGGTATGACTCTCTTTAAGAAGAGTAGGCAGCTGGGCTGAAAAAAAAAAGAGGAGCCTCAGAAAGGCCAGCCCAGGCCTGAGACTCAGACTGTCCAGACTCCTGTCATGTGTACACACACTTAGGCTTCACAGACTGGAAAGATCCTGCCTGGTACCATTAGGGCAAGACCAGTGAAGGAGCCAGGTCCTTGCCCAGCCACTCTGCTGCCTTTAACAACAGAGGCTCACTCACCACTAAGGCTGTGTTGCTCCTGGGGTACAGGTGGCCGGCTCTGTGTCCCTGCCACAGATCGCTGGGCTGCAGACTCAGGTTCTACCTCCTCTGAGGACACATCCTGTGCAGGAACCACAACATGCTCATCAGCACTGAGACTAGATGGGAAGGAGACACAGGACATGTCCCTCAGGATGCTTGGGTATGGGGAAGGAGAGCAACATAGATCCCTAGAGAATGGGACCCCAGGCAGGGCTGTGCACTCAGGGACACTCCCAAGTCGTGAGGCAAAAACTGGCCCCCAAAGGCCAGAATGGCTACTCAGTAAGGGGAGAATTGGGGGACTCTCCAGCCAAGGGCAGAAACCCATACCCCCTGGCCACTCATTAGCACCTCCCCAGATGCTTCCAGTGTCAAGGACCCAATACTCAACAAGATGGCAGGTGCCCATGGACAGTTCCACCTTCTCACCCGTCTTTGGTGCTCTACCTGTCCATATCGCTGTGTCCCCAGGGCCTGGCCTACAGCAGAATATGAATTACTATCTATACAACTTGTGAGAGCTAAAACTTCATCTCTGGACCATTTCCACTTCAGTCCTACTGCTGCCCTCCAAGGCCCCCACAAGAAACCGCATTCACGGCTCGGCGCCTGTGGCTCAAGCGGCCAAGGAGCCAGCCACATACACCTAGGGTGGCAGGTTCAAATCCCCAGCCCGGGCCCGCCAAACAACAATGATGGCTGCAACCAAAAGATGGCCGGGCATTGTGGCGGGCGCCTGTGGTCCCAGCTACTTGGGAGGCTGGGGCAGGAGACTCGCTTGAGCCCAGAAGTTGGAGGTTGCTGTGAGCGTGATGCCGTGGCACTCTACCCAGGGGGATAGCTTGAAGCTCCGTCTCAAAAAAAAAAGAAACCGCATTCACTTTGCTCAGCTTCTTTCCTAAAGGCAACCTATATGCACACCCTCAGACCCTGTCTCCTCTACTCCGTGAACCTCCTGGAAAACTCATCTCTATGGAGATGGCTATCTCTCTTCACTCCCAGTGCCCCCAGGTTCGGGGGCCCCCCACCTGTGGCCAAGATTTCACTGGCTGCTTCTGTAGGTCCTCAACCAAGGCAACAGCTTCCTCGCCACTCCTTGGGTGCTGCTCTTGCACCCAGCCCTGGATCTTCCCTGGCAGCACCGTCAGAAACTGCTCCAGCACCAGCAGCTCCAGGATCTGCTCCTTGGTGTGCAGCTCAGGACGCAGCCAGCGGCAGCAGAGCTCCCAGAGCTGGCTGAAAGCCTCATGAGGCCCATGCACATCCCCATAGCAGAACTGCCGAAAGCGCTGGCGGCAGGCCTCAGAATCCTTGCTGTCGTCTTGTTGGGCAGATTCGTGCTCCCAGGAGGAATCTTCCACCTTCACAATCAGAAGTCCTTCTCCCTCCCCAGGGGCCTCATCCTGGAGTTCCAGGGGAGTTGCCATTCCCTTAGCCTAAGACTCAGGGCTGGTGGGCCTCAACCTGGGCCCCAGAACGTATCCTGTCAGTTTCCCAGAGAAATACCCTGTGGTGGCTGGGCCAGCATTTGGACGTGCATTCCTGGAGAAAGAACAAAAATGTAGGATTGGGGGAGTGTAATACATGACCAAACTAGCCTGAATGGCCATATGGGGACTCCAGTGCTTATCCTTCTATAGCCTGAAGCCTTCTTTAGGTTTTACCACAGTGCCTTGTTCATGAGACTCTCTCCTACAAATACAGGCTCACAATACCTTATCCCAAAGTCTGAAATCCCAGACCCAGATTTTTCATGATTCCTTTGACACAAAACTTAATGTCATTTATTTAGCAGCCCCTCCTACAGACATGCACAGATTTGTAATCTTCCTTTATCCCATTTAATGTAAGTGTTCCTATGCTTTACAATAGAAATAATCTATTTGTTTAGTTTATAAACATTTACCTACCCACTGAGCCTGTGGCTCAGTGGGTAGGGAGCCGCCCATATACGGAGGGTGGCAGGTTTGAACCTGGCCCCGGCCAAACTGCAGCAAAAAATAGCCGGGTGTTGTGGTGGGCACTGTAGTCCCAACTACTCAGGAGGCTGAGGCAAGAGAACTGCCTAAGCCCAGGAGTTGGAGGCTGCCATGAGCTGTGATGCCACAGCACTCTACCGAGGGCAATAAAGTGAAACTCTGTCTCTATAAAAAAAAAAAAAAGCCAGTAAGGCGAATAAATGAGGCATATACAATGTTATTAATTTAGTAAAGAGTACTTTGCAAATTATTAAAGATAATATTAACAAAATATGGAACAGCATTAATGAAAAATGTGTTATAAGGCCA